ATTTGAGATGAATTATAATCATCCTATTTACAATGTGTTTTTAAGACTTCTGAAAGATTGATTTAAGACATTTTAAGGCTAATTAAGGTCTTAATTTTGAATTGATGAATTCAATGCCTTTGAAGACTTTTTAAGGACCTGCAGGAACCCTGGTTACTCACAACAAACCAAGTGCTCTTACCTCCATCGGGTTGACAATGATGGTGAGTGCGGAGTCATCCCATTGGCTGCTCCCCTCCTTGGGCCCGCCCCTGGCGCCATCTCCTCGGCGGTGGATAGAGCGAATTCGGAAGACACCCAAGATCACCATGACGACCAGAAAACCCACACACACCATGATGATGACGGTAGCCGCTCCTGGAACCACTGCAACAAAAATGAAAGTAATTACGTGTCGTACGTCATTTAGATTCAAAAACAAAGATTAAAAAATATACAAAAGTTTTGATTTGTTTTATTACATCAAAGCAAATGAAAAGAGCAAAATGAGCTGAAAGCCTGAGGCAGACCCATTGTTCTGCAAATCAATGAGAAACACATCAATGTGCAACACAAAGGTAAAAATCACATCTTCAGAACAAAGAACAAAGAACCTGTCCTAATCCAGACACAATAATGCAGCCACCACAATATTTGTTCTGATAAATGATTCTCAAATCTGCAAAACCCTTTAGTTAAAAAAATATTAGCAGAAACAAACAGGCTTTGAGTTGAGAGGCAAAAGTCTTACAGGAAGGATTTATTTCTGTGAATGTGTCCTTTAGTGCAGGGATGAGCAACTTAATGATGTAAGGGACCACACTATCAGAGGGCCACAGCGCTGCACACTTAGCCAAATGTAACAAAACTGCCATTTTAAAAATGTTTCTGTGTTTATATAAAGACGTTTATTAAACCAACAGTGCAGTAACTTAACACATTTCATAAATACTTATTTTAGCAAGCTGAAGTGGARTGGCAGAAGACGCCTTGAGTGTAGACTACTGTGTGATTGTGGTTCTGATAAGTCACTACTGTTTATGTACTAGWGACTTCAGTAAACTTCTCTTATTTAGCTTTGTGCAACGTGTTGTAGTGTTGACTCATTAAAATCTTCATGGCAGACAGCGTCTGTAGGCGAACTAAACACAATGCCTTGAAATTCTGTGGACAGATAGTTCACCCACCGCAAAAACTACAAATAAATTAAAAAAATAAAAATAATTTAACAAAAACTATTGAAAAAAGCACTCAAACAGCTATTAGATTCCAAGAACTGCTTTTATTAAAGTAAAGACATTTTTTAAGCAAAATAAAAGTTTGGGGAGCCTCATTAATGGGCCTGACGGAAGTCACCAGCAGGCCAGATGTGGCCCGCAGGCTGCCAGTTGTCCAACCCTGCTTTAGATTAATAAATACCCCAAATAATTTATGGAAGCCTGTCTTAAAGGTGGCCTATTATGTAAAATTCACTTCTTTTTTTTACATGTTTTTAATTCTTCAATTTGGGTCTGTACTGCTTTCAGAAACAGTGTATTAATCAAAACATATGTTTTAGATTTAAGTAAAGCCTTTAATCAGGAGAAACAATTACCTGAAAGTTAGTTTTAGCAGCAATAAATTCTGCCCGTCTCCAGTGAATGAGAGGAGAAGAAAGTCTGGTAAAATGAATGACGTGTTTCTCCATGATTCTTCACAATTTTTCAGGTAAAGTGACCCTCAAAAATATTTAGTATATAATTACTTGAACAATGATCATTAAGAGTTGAAAGTGGAACATAATTTGACCATTAAAGAGTCTGAATTTATAATTTTAATTGCCAAGTTAACCGGAAGAGTAGCTCTGCCTCTCAGATTGACCCACCGTGTTGTGAAGCTTTTAACCTTTCTTTACTTGATGACCAGCCAAGGGCGTAAGTTTCTGAAGGACTGGTGTGGACATGTCCCCACCAACTTTGGCCGGACAGGGACAGTCCCCACCAATATTTGCACATCTTTTTTCTTTTGCGTGCATCTACATTTCCCTACAGTAGGCAGCAGCTTCTGTGTCTACCTTTTTCCAGGGAAAAAAAAAGTAGCTACACTGCGCCGCTTCCTCTCTTCCGCCCCCTCCCCGGTCCTGCTAGTGCTTCTCATCCCATTCAGGAGTGCTACTGCGAGTCTGCGACACCTTCCCCCTCACCCCCCCTTTCATTTTCTCTGAAGTGCAGACACAGACACACACACACACACACACACACACACACACACACACACAC